TGTAAAATAACAATACAAGCAACTTTTGCCTTGGAGTCATGTTCAAATTCGTAGCAAATCATGAGTTAAAAATAAAAAAACCGATTTTTTTTTATTTCTTATTTTTAACGAAAAAAAATTATGTTCGTCCGAACATGTTCGCGAGCTGTTCGTGCGAACGCGCAAACACATTCGCGCGAACATGAAGGGGCGCGAACACGTTCGCCGTGCTACGCATTACGATGTCAAGTTTCGCCACATCAAGAAACCCAGACACTCCAGTACTGCTTTTCTATGTCTTGTTTGTTTAACTTGTTTTTCTTCGAAACAGCCTTATTGGCTATGGCTCTACGAGACTTCGTTCCTGTGGCAGAGGGTGCCGGTTCAAGACCTGATGCCCGTAAAATCCCGTTGGAATCAAACTGTGAAATGCACCTGTGGAACCTGCGGGCAGTTGAAGTCCCGCCGTGGTGACCAGGTATAGTAGCCTTGGTGTGCTATGTGAACGGAGTGTGCGTGTGTTGCTGAGTCCGCAAGGACACTACAGCCCTGGGGGTGGGCTGGATATCACTACCGGTATGGATCCAGTTTTATAACACCTCCAAGGGTTGTAGTGGTTACGAGACTTTGTTCCTGTGGCAGAGGGTGCCGGTTCAAGACCTGATGCCCGTAAAATCCCTTTGGAATCCAACTATGGCTCTGTCCATTCTGCGGAGTTCAGTTCCTTTTCTGCTGGCAAGTGGAGTGAAATTCATCACTTCACTCATGCTTTCCTGAACGCATATGGGTGTGTGTGCAATGAACCCAGATGGCGAAGATACTTGTCAACAATGCCAGCCCATATAGATATCAACCTGCTGATGAATGTCAAATAATCATAATTGTGTCCAGATAGAATGAGATGGGAAATCATACACAGACGAAGGAGATAGAGGGGAGAATAGACTGAGAGGGGAGAAATCAACAATGCCCACTCCTCTTCGGGCTCCCTCCTCTCTCGCCACCTCAATAATCAATAACCCGGATACAAATCTGAAGTTCTCTCTCAATGTGCCACGTGGCACGTCAGCCTGTCCTCATCAGCGAACTGGAGAATGTCGACATCAAGATACCAGGTACGTATCTACGATAACCCCACAGTCTTGATCTCCTTCCGAAGTGACGATGAATCAGAACAGCACTATCAATCACGTAGCCCCACCCCGTCAGAGTACATGTGGCAGCAGCCACGTCAGCGGAGGTGCGTGGTAGCTGCCATGTCAGCATGCCAAGAAGACAATTACCAGCCAGCCACCATGCCAGCCAGCAGCGCGTCCCCGTCTCTTCTCCTATGCCAGCATAGAGCCAGCGTCCAGCCAGTGTCGCAGCGTCGCACCAGCGTCAAAGTCAACGCATGAAGTCAGCATTGACGCAAGACTGAATGAATGTCAAAGCCAGGAAGTCAGCTGTTATGTAGTGTTGACGCGGGGTCTGGTCCCCGGATGCTGTATCCCTCAGCCGTCCAGATCTGAATGTGAATGAGGGCCCAGATTGGCCTGAAACCGAATTCCCTCCGGCCTGGATGCTGTCTGGGTACCTGCGCAGAAGTATCCAACCAAGGGCCTGGGTGCGGTACCTTTGACTCTACAGTTGACTTTGACTCTTGAATTTCCTGTGTGCAGCGTTCGGTCACACAGCCACACTCGACAGACTCAGGCCTGGGCGTGTCTTGGTCACACAGCCCAGCGCAGACCAACTTAGGTCTGCGTTTCCTGGGGCTGAGTTCTAAGCCCCAGGCTACTTCTGAACAGGGTTACTTCATGTGCTCCTGGGCCTTTCCTTTTTCTGTCACCATGACCAGTAAACGAGGCCTTAATGCACACACTTGTGGCATGTGATTCATAATTTTCTTATTCTGTTAATCTGATTGCATCTGGATTCGAACTTGGGTCTGTATTTCAACAGTTCATGGGTGTACCAACTGCGCTAAGACATGCCATCAAATCTTTGGTTAATTTGATGGTGCAGTTCAGACAATCCGTTGAACAATTCCAGGGTTCTAAAACCAGAATCACCTTCCGCACACATGCAAGCCTGCAAGGGAGCTGACGATGTGAAGAGGATGAAAATTCAGTGAAAAAGGAAGTAAAGAAAGTTCTGGACCGTTGTTAATGACATCTGCGTATTAAAACACCAGTACCCTTGAACCTCCAGTCCCAAACCAATCTGCATCCAGCAGAAGGCGTGGCGCCAAACCACGAAAAATAAGTAAGCCCTGACCTCTCATGGACTTCCAAACCTCGGCAAAGTGAAAAGAACGTGGGAAACAAAAATGCTCATCCGAAAAGATACAGAAAAAAGGTATTAGAGGAGCAAAGAAAGAAAGGAGTTTTTAATGACTCTCGTAGCAACTCTGCAGGGAACAAAAGAAAAAGAAAAAAAACAGAAAGAAGAAATGAACTTTCACTGGGCTGTGCATCACAATGTAAACGCCAGGAAAATAGTCCAGACTCCAGACTCCAGATTCATTCAGAAGTTGACTGCCGTAGAGAGACACACTCTACTTTCTTCTGGTATCCTAGGAAGTGGACGGAAGGGTCCATTGCTCACAGCCTCTGACACTCACTCGGACAAATTCTATCAAAGACATCATCGCTGATTTGGGTGGTTTTGCTGCCCAGATCCATTTGCAATGTCACCTCAAACTGCCAGAGGGCCGCGAGAAATGGATTTCTCTATACCTCACATCAAGGCGGGGCGTGTACTGATAGTTTAAACCAGCGTTTGCAGAATGCCTACCCGATGTTCTGTAACTCGTTCAGTACGACAGTGGTTCACAGAAGCCAGACCGCTCTTTTGTACCTGATAATGTTCTCCAGACCAGTCCTATGGCAGTCTCTATCAGAGAGGCAACTAATAGCATTCGTTCTCTCTGCCTTTGCCACACACTCCTTCATATTCACATACTGAGACACCGGTGACTCTAGCTCGGTTGTGATCGTTCTGAATGTGTGTACGAAGCATCTGCAGCTCCTGGTTACCCCTTGGCAGAAGTCGTAAGGGACCCGGAGCTATAAAATGCACTGTGGACTCGATGGGACAGTGGTTTTGCTGCTGTGGTGCACACCATAGCGTCCATCCTCTGATGGTGGAGGCGTCCAACATTACCTGAGGATGTTGGGCTGGTTGAGGAAGACTTTGGAAATGGAAAAATGTTAGAATCACAACAGACAACGGGAACGTACTAGAATGCTATGTAGCTGATGGGTTACCAACTGCGGGAGCATCTGTTGTGGTCAACAAGGGGATTGGTGTGGAGGTGTGGACTCAGAAGTCTAGGCAAGGGGATTGGTGCAGAGTGCGGGGTTCAAAAGTCTATTCAAGGATTGACGTGGAGTGTGGGCCCCAAAATTGTAGGGAGAGGAAATGATTGATTGTTATGATTATGGTGGCTAGAATTGATATGATCTCTTTGAACAGTGGTAAAAAAATAAAAGATTTGAGGGCGAAGGGCCGAAGGCAAAGGTTTACCAACTGATCACCTAAGGTTCCTGTGCAAATGTGTCTGCTAATTTGCTCGTTGTTGACGTCGTTGTAGGGTTCTGATGAAGAACTGGACTCGTGCCACCAGTGCAAACAAAACATAGTGAGAAAAAGGCGAGTGGATGTTCTCTCTTGTGAGCCAAGTGTTGTGAAGGGGATCGGAGGGGGGAGTACGCATAGCAAGAAGCGGCGGAGCATACCCTTGTTCGACTCAGTTCCGAAAAAACCTCTCAAAGTTCAAACTGGAGTAGCAGTGGAACAGGGAAGCGCATCTGAGGGAAGAAACAATCAAGTGGCTGACGGTAAAGTGTCTGTGAGGGCGCCATTTCAGTTGCAGGAACATGTCGAGGGGCACAGCATTGATGCCATGAAACAAGTGAACAAGGGTGGAGGTGACTCTAGAGTAGATGGCATGAAGGCCAAGGCAGTCCCGCTGACATCAACACCAACCTTGGAGCCAGATAGGCAGAAGGAGAACGGGAAGGAGTGTGATGGAGGATGCAGAAAGTCGAGCCGTCAGGAGCAAGACGAATGTGGAGAGAAGGATAAGAAGAAAGGCTTTTTGGACGGGGATGTGGGAATGCAGTATCCTGCTTTAGGTGACTTGGGCATTAGAGGAGGGAGAGGTGATGGTGTCAAGTTCAAACGGAGGCATAGCTTGACTTTCTGTGATCCAGTGGTTGCAGGGGAGGTAGGTGGGACTGACAAGAGTGGGTGCAGTGACTTGGAAATGAGTGTGACAAAGAGTGACATTCTTGAATTGACTGGGGTCGTTGGGGGTGTGGGTGGGGGAAGGCGAGGGCGTGTTCTGAAGCAAAATTGGTTTTTGATGCGGAGTCTGGCAGCTCCTGGTTGGCGTCCAGGATTCCGGCGTGGCATGGATGTCAGATCATCCTCCAGTGTGAGGAGGAGGATATGCCTACGGCTGAGGGGGCATGGAGAGACTCCTGGGAGGAGACAAAAGTTAGTCAAGAAACCTGTGCTGAAGCGGAGGACATTGGCCCAGGTCAGGTCACACAGTGCTGCGAGAGCTGATCGGGCGAAAGGAACGGCGAGACGTAAAGAGCAAATTGCGGAGCGGGGAAATGAACTTCAAGGCGATAAGAATGGTATGACAAAGCTTGCAGAGAGAAGGGTGCATGCTAGGAGTGAGATAGAAAGAGCCCGGGTTTGGGAAGCTGGTGGAGGGCAGGGTCAGAGGGATATTGACTGGTGGGGGGTGAAGAAGAGTGGTGGTGGGAAAAAGGCCTCTAAGCATCGGAGTCAGAGTGCTGATCGATCCCTGAAACCATTTCTGAAGACACCAGAGCACCTCACAGCGGATGAGGCAGTCCAACGGGTTGCCTCATTAATAATGCAAGAGGTTGTGAGGCGTGCTGACACTGAGAAAGATAGGGTTACTGGGAGTACTTCCCTTGCACAAAGGAGCGGAGATATGGCACAACCTGATGCAGCTGGCCTGGGGATGCTGAATTCTGTAACGAGAGGACTTGAGGAGGTGACTGTTAGGTTGGATGGGAGGGGCAAAGTGGAGCGAGGGAGGACTGATGATTATGTCAAAGGATGTGCGGAGGGGATTAGAACGGGGCTTGATCGAGAGGAAGAACTGCAGCATGTTGGAGAAGACAAAGGTTTTGACAGGCGGGTCGAATCTCAGACGGCAATCAGTTTGCCTGGAACGGGAACTGTACAAACAGGCAGATCGCAGATGGGTCTTGCAAGTCCAGGTCAGGTGGATCAACCATGTTACACAGGGGTGCAAGGAGAAAGGCTTATCCCAGTTGGAGTGAAACGGGTCAGACGAAGTCAGCAAGAATCTCAAGTAAGAACAGGGCATGAGGCTGCCTCGAAGCTGTCTGGAACAGGTTTGGGCAGTGGTCGGTTTGAAAGCTTGCTTTCTCCCACTTTTCAAGGGAGTGGTGAAGCAAGAGGATTTGAAACAGGCCTTCAGAAGGGATTTAGTGCGGGGTTATTTCAACAACCAGTTGAAAGGGTTTTCAAGGGAGATGGCTTGGGAAATGCTGGCCTAAAGCAGAAAGTGTCAATGCTATCACCAACTAAGATTGGTGCTTCCTTTAAACAACAGGCAAGAAAGAGCAACCCCGGTTTCACAGCTTTTCAAGACCCTGTTCCCAGTGGTTGCACAACAGATCTGAGAGACAAGGGTAGTGGAGGCCTTGGAAGTGGAATCTGGATACTGCCAGGAGTTGGTGACCCCTTACAGCCAACAGCAACGAGTCAGAAGTCTGGAGGAGGACAATGGACAGACAATAAGGGTGCGCAGAGGGCTGTGGAACAGGAGTCATCTACCAAGGAACACGAGGAAGCAGGGGTAGATGAGGGGAGTCCTGATGTTGGCAAGACCTTCCTGCGAAAGGAAATGAGCAGGGAGGAGCTATTGACAGCATTAATAAATGACTTGGCTCGGTTGGGGGCTGGCTCTCCCCTGAGGGGTTACGGGACGGTAAAGGACCACAAGGACTTTGATTTACTCTCGCATAAGGATCCGAACAATAATTATCAACAATTTGCAAAAGAGAGTGCTCTAGAAGGGGAGGGGTGGCAATGCAGTAGTGTGGTGGAACAAGTGCCAGAGAAAAAGAGCATCATGGAAGGGTCACCTATGTGGAGACCTGAGGGTGCGGATGAGGCTTGGAAATCTGAGCCTCCAGTCGCAAGACCATTGCATAGGACCTTCTTGGGACGAGCAGAGCAATGTTCCCAGGGTCTTAACAGTGCTGGGATGAAATCACGAGCAAATGGAGCTGCACAGCGGGAGGAGTCGATGAAAGGAATGGGTGTGGATTCCACCAGCAAGGTGGTGGCTCTCCAGGTTGGAGGACAGACTTCTGGCTGTTACAATCGAGGGACAAATTGGACTTCTAGCTGTTACGATCGAGGGACAAATTGTAGGTCTTCGCCTGCATCAGCATCGTCATTTCGATCTGTGCTCAATCTTTCCAGCTCTCGTGTAGAAAATGTGATCTGTTCCCCACCCTCTTCTGTGGTGGACAAGCTGAGGTCTAACTTTTCTGGCTTCTCAGACCCAGCCATCGAATTGGGATTAGGGAAGGTCGCCAATATCTCTGCTGGAGGGGAATATGGCAGCTTCAGCTCTGCTCTGCATGGTCTTACTGGTAGAGGAGGGCAGTATGATGTATTTCAATGCCAGTATTTTGCTGAATCAGGCGGTAAGACTAGTGGAATGCAAGAGCAACTCTGTCAGGGAACAGATGCTGCTTCCAGTTTTTCAAACTGGACGTGGAAGCCATCTTATGGGGCCCCTTGTGTCCGTCCTGCACCTGTAGATGCTTCTGATCATGCCAAACAGCTCATACGAGGAGGGGGAGGTATTGTGGGAGGACGTGACTTGTTCGAGTCTTGCCTAGAAGCACAACAGCGCCCAAGGATGGACCATATGATGGGAAGTGTATTTTCCCGACGAAAAACAACTATGGACCCCACAAGTCCGAATCAAGATCAAACGGAGAAAATGGATTTGAGGGATAACCACATAGTGGTGGGTGCTAGTCCAACAGCACGGCAGTGCGTCTCACGAGCTTTCGGAGTGCGGCAGCGACAGCACTGCTTGCTGCAGGTTAATGAACAGGTTGCAGTGAAGGAGAGGCCAGAGAAGGATGGCTGGAGCACGTTTGATAGCAGTGGCTCTTCACGGAGGCTACAAGTTCGTGATGCTGCCTGTGAATCGGTGGCCGATATGTCCCAGGTATCTGTAAATGGATCGCGATCACAGCAGGTGCAGACACTAATCACTACGGGGCAACAGCATGCTAAAGTGGTCAATGCCAGCATTCAGGTTGAAATCCCAGCATCAGGGAAGCCAGACCTAATGGCAAGTCCTAAGCTGCACACTGTCCACCGAGCTGCAACAAGTTCCACTGAACTGGGTGGGGCGACTGGTGTGCAGGGCCAGCAAAAGATGTCTGCTCACATTTTGCCACTGAATTGGGGAGAACATGCAGTTATGACCTATTACAAGGGAAAGGACGGTAACCCTTTTGTTGAAGTGGACCAAAAACTTTCTACAGCATCTAATCAACACACCGGAAAGGCTATTGGCATCAGTGGTAGAGTCCCTGTAAGATTCGTTGAGCCCTGGATGGTTCCCAGGTCAAGTGGCATGGAAATTGGGCTATGCAGGCCTCCACATATTGATCCTGTGTCTTTTTTCACAGGCCGAGATTTGTATGTACCACAAACAGGGAATGAGAGCATCCCTACCCCAGTTAGCAAGGAGCAAGGGGAATCGGGCATTGACAGACTTCCGGCACCGTCGGACGTTGTCATACCATCAAGGGTGTTGCTGGCAGGACGCTTAGGAGCAGCTGCAGCTGGAGTAAGAAGTGATCATGCGGCGAAATCACCAGCCAGAAAGATTCAGAGTACGCAGGGGGATGAGAAGGCTGGGAAAGACATCACGTCATCATCAGAATCAGAGGAGCATGTGTGGTGCACTAGGGGGAGGTCCCCATCTCATCGAGATGCTGCAATTGGAACTGGCAGAAATTTTGCTGCTTCAAACATGCATTGGAGAAAGGATAGGGCTACAACCTGGAAGAGAGAACGTAGGGCAGAGTCCCCTCCAACACCTCCCACTCCAAGCAGTCCATCCTCTGACTCAGGGATAGAAAGGCACTTGGCTTTGCTAGGGCTCTGGGAAAGGCCACCAACAATGAAGCATAGGTGGAACACATGTGCAAGTGCCCAGCCTGTGGCTTCTGCTGCAGATGGTACCAACCTAATAGGGAGGATGGAGGCAGCCAAACCACCAGATGGAGTACGGGAATGCAAAATGACATCCATAGAGGAAGAGCACGTTGATTCTGGCAAAGGGAATGACCGTGAGAACATAGAGCAGCACGAGAACCTGGCAAGGGGTGCGCAAGAGAGGATACAAGAAAGATGCTCGAAAAATGATGCTGAAGATGGGAAGGAGGAGAACAAAGCAACACCAGATGCAGAGGTAGAGAGGGTCCATGGCTTGGAGAGAGATGTTGGACACGGTGTTACTGAGAACCAACAGGAAGTAGGTGGGGAGGTGAAAAGTGAGTCATCCCAGCCAATAGAAAACAGTGGGCAGGCACTGAGTGTTGTAAGCATGGAGGAAAAAAAGGATTCTGGTTTAGGTGGTCATCTTATAAAGGGATCAAATCATGAAATTCAGGAAGGTTTGGCGGAGAAGGAAGATGATCACCCCACATTGATGGATAAGGGTCCTTATCAGGACAGTAAGAAGAGTATGGTTGGTAAAGGTGATCTTGCTCAAGCAAAATCGAGTGACAATTTTGAGACAGGTGTCACAAAGTGGGAAATCGCTTGTGAGATGGTGAAAAAGGAAGCACCAATCAGCTTTGTTCAGCAGAATGAATATGGTTCAGGAGAGGAACCAATCATGGTTCAGCATTACGACCATGGTCCAGGCAAGGAACAGAGGAATCTTGAGCAAAGGAGTCGAGGAAAGCAACCAATTAGACAAGAGGCCCACAGGCAGCGGATGAGGTCAACCTTGATGAAGATAGGCAGAAAGAGATCTGTAAATCTTGGTAATTTTGGTAGCATGGTGTCTTCTGCATCTGGCAGTGCAGGAAGCATGTCGCCTGGGGAGGTCAGATTGCCAGGTGAGTGTACTAGCGATGTGTGTGTGTGTGTGTGTGTGTGTGTGTGTGTGTGTGTGTGTGTGTGTGTGTGTGTCGTAAGCCGTCACCATAACAACCCATTTTCCACTAATATATCCAAAATTGAAACAAATTTGCAATGAACTGCTAGACCTTAGTTTTTTCTACATGCGAACCGTTTCCATAACAACCCCTTTTCGACCTAAAGAAGTAGATAGTACTAGATACAGAATTGAAACAATCTGTTTGACGCTAGAATCTTCTACATCAAACATCATGAAGCACACAAAAACTGTGATATTGCGGTGTCGTCATGGAATTATGTCTTTGCCATTATATTAACTTATATCGCCCCTTCCTTATGCTTTATGCAGCTCTTTCTTTGTTGTCCTTGCTCTTTTGTATGTCTAATTACTGCTCCCTTTGTACTGTGCCTCGCCACGTTGATTTTTGTTGACAGCAAGCTGCCCACATGCCAGTGTGCCTTAACGGCCCACTTCCACGTGGTCAAAAAGAGGCAGAGTACAGGGTGAGGGGTAGTACTGTTTAGTATTCAGTAAAATTTCACTTGCATTGAACTTAGGGATCTGCAAAAGAAGCCGAGGGTCAGTCGCATGAGCAAACGAAGAACATCAACACAGTGGAAGGAGTTCTGCATGAGAGGAGGAAGGGAGTGAGGAGAGAGAGGAAGAAGAGTTCGGGCGAGAAGGGGGGGGGTCGCAAAAAAGGGCCTGAGGATAGAGGAACTTTGTGGAATTCTCAGTACTCACCGGCTGCGCAGACTGCTATGGAGTGACAGTTGGTGGTTCCATCAACAATCAGTGGATGAGTCATTGCCCCTTGGAGTGGGGGAACAGTGAGGGCGAAATGAATTAGAAGTCCAGGGGTCAATTGCACAAAGTGAAGGCTGATCAGTCCCATTTGCACTTAATAGCCGCTGATAGTAGTGTGAATGCTGCACACATGGCTGCAGCTTGTGTCTGGGGCACATGCAACCCTGCAGCACTGTAAAAATCATCACCCCATTGCCATTGGTGGATGGCCGTTGGCTCAGTGGTTAGAGCACCGGTTGGAAACGCGCATTATGGTATGAGGTTGCGGGTTCAAAACTCCGCAGCCTCACACATACACCAGCAGTGCTTTCAACGCATGGCCATTCACACACCCCTCTTGGGACGATGCATGGTGAGATTTACAGACTGCCTGCACACCGCCCAAGGGGTTTAGGTCCATGGTTGTAGTATGCTGGATTGGGCCATGGGAGGGCTGCTTGACTGCTTGCGTTTAGGGGGCCTGCTGATCAGGGTCTTATGTTGTCTCCACCAATGGGGTGGGGGGGAGGGCGTGGAATAGGCTAGGGTAGACTAAGGGGGTCACTCTTACCGCCAAGATCGTCAAGGACTATATAACAGTGGATTCGCTGATAGGCCCCTTGGCCCTTTACACTTCAGTAGAAACTGTCGAAACCGTCGATATCCCTGTGTAGTGGCTTGGACCCTCCAATCTTTCAGTCTCGTCAGTCTGTACTAGTCTGTGGGGGTACCATGGTGAGCCTGGGTACGGCTCCTGTCACTATGGCACTCGTACGAGAGTCGACACAGAGTGTTGCATACTGTAACGTGCAGACCAGAACAAGAACCGACCTCTCAATACAAAGTACAAGATAACACAGCGGAAGACTTAGATACGAATGATCCGAACAATCAATATTGCAATGCAGCCCTGAACACACATCATCATCATCGTTATCTGGTGTGAAGGGGGTCTGGCGCTTCACACAAGAAGACTGCGCCAGCCCCAACCATACACAGACGAAGAAGGAGGGGTTAGATGAAAGAGGAGGGGAAGATGGGAATGTCGTCAACACCAAGTCTCGGTACAGGCCCAAATAGTCCCTCGTCGAAACGTCTGGATCCAATGTCGTCAAGTCTCAAGTCACAACTCTTTCTCTCTCTGTCGTAGTCTGAGAAGTCAGGTGGCGAGAGGGTGAGAAGAGATGGTGGACTTAGAAGAGGAAGAAGAAGAACTCTCTCTCTCTCTCTGTGTCCAGTACTAACCTGTGAAGTTGGCGCCTTGATGCAGGTACCACGAAGATGGAGCGGAGCGATGGCGCCACAGGTAAGTACCACTGGCCTCCGCCCATATCTCTCCCACTCTATGATCTACCAGCGCCGAAGACTACAGCTAGCGCTAATACTACTGCCTAGCGCTGAAGACTACTGCAGCGCTCCTCCTGAGTGCTGCGGCCGAATCCTGAAGACTACTCGTGCCTACTGACAACTACCTACCCGTGAAGTGCATGGGAACTTCCTATGTACTACCGGGTGTGCCTCCTGACTCGTGCGAGCAGCCTAGGAGGCTGCTCTTGCCAATGCCGAAGGGAGGCAGGGGCTGCAGCTGCAGCTCCTGCTCAAGCTCGTGAGGAACAGGCTATTTCTGGCCTGTTCCGAAACCCTGTATTCATGCCTGAGTCTTAGGGGTGGTCGAAACAACGAGGGCCTGAAAAAGGCCCTCCGTTTCAGGCTGGAAAACCTCTAGGTCTGAAAGACCCAGAAATAGGCTGAAACGGAGTAGGGCCTGCAGGCCCTCGTTTTTCAGCTTTCAGGCTGAAACGACCRGGGCCTGTAAGCCCTAAGTTTTAGGCTTTTAGGCTGAAAGTCCGGGACGGGCCCTGCAGGGCCCGTGTGGCTACGCAGTATGCCATACCCCCCCCTCCTTGAAGAACCGAGCTTACCTGCGAGGGCGAAGCTGTCTGTGTGAGGGAGGGACCACAGTCCGGGTGGGAGGGGCTGGTCGTGAAGCTTCCTGAGCTAACCTCCGCTTTTCATAATGCGCGTAGATCAGCGGTGCGGAGGCTTTCAAATCTGCGCCTGAAATCCACCGAGTGTCGTCGCGATCGCATGCTTTGAATGTGACTTTGTACTGCCGCGGCTTGCTGTCGTACTTGCGATCGGTGATGACGCGGGCAACTTCCTGATGACCATCCATAGGAGGGTCCTGCGATCGTGGCCCGGGAAGTCGTCGCTCCTGGCTGGCGTGTATGTTGCCAGCTTCGAGGCGTGGAAGACTGGATGGACCATCAAATGCTCTGGAATGTTGATGACAAATGAAGGGCCATCGGGCTCATCGCCCGCGGCTGCTGTCACAGACCAAGGTCCAAACCACTTGGGAAGCAGTTTGCGTGAAACATCCTGTTCCAGTGCAAACTCTTTCGCGGAGACCCAAACCAGATCACCGGCACGGATGGGACATGGTAAGCGACGCCTGTTGGCTTGCTGCTGCATGCAGACTTGAGCCTTCTGCATGTTTGCGAGGGCTTGAGTCAGCAATTCCCTGTACTTCCGGACGGAGGCGGGAGAGCAGGCAGCGTCAATGTCGACTGGTCGAGGGAGGAGAAGGTCGGCGAAGATCCGGGCTTGCTGCTGCATGCGGACTTGAGCCTTTTGCATGTTTGCGAGGGCT